CGAGCACTCTGAGCAAGACTCGTCTAGGACGGAAGCACAGTGAAGTCTGCAAGCTGTCTCGACGAAGCACAGTGAAGTTTGCAAGCTGTCTCAACGAAGCTTACTCCAAGGCGCACAGCAGGGCGTGCTGCTCTAGAAGTGGTGCACAGCGAAGCCGCGTGCATCTCTGCAAGCTACGGAGTCAAAGCCAAAGCAAGTTTCACCCCTTCTTAACCGTTTACTACCCTGAGGGCTTAAGCAGCTGAAGACAGCTGCTGAGAGCACCACTGGCATCATCCGCGGAGCGAGTTTGCCCCAACACAGTCATCGTGCTGCAGAGCTCCCGAGATGGAAGATCTGCAACGTTGCTGGGAGACGGGACACGTGCATACCAACACCGGATCTCTCCGGCATCTTCCAGGGCCAGGAGGACAGAAGCTAGTGCCTTAGCAGTAGGGTTTCTGCCTCTGCCAGAAATGGCAACGTCTCTTGTAGAGTTGTTGTCAAGGTAAGCGACGCATGGCCGGTTGGTCAGCCTAGCCTTCCAATGCACGAGTGCAACGACAAGCGCGAGGAATTCCAATTCAAAGATGATGGTCTTCTTGTGCTTCTCTCCAAGTGCCTCACGGCCCGGCACGTCCAGGCAGAAGGAGAAGAAGGCGCAAAACTCACCTGCAGAACTGAAAAGCACAGCACCCAAACCTGCACACCAAGTGCTACGAGGCTCGTAGCAGGCATCCGTGAACAAGTAGTAAGGGTCGTTGTGAGCGGCACAGACAGTGTGTGGCCGACTGACCTGTAGGCACTCCTTGTAGCGATGCAAGGCATCCCAAAGATCATCAGGTACCAAGGGACTGGCACCATCGTAGGCATGCCTTGTCACTGCTTGAAGACAAAGCCGCGACGCCCGACCAAAAAGGAAGCTATCACAAAACTGCATGCGGCCGCGGAGGCGCAAAGCAGCAGCGCGAGGTAAGGATTTGCTTTCCAAGATTTCCGAAATGGTCTGAACGAGCTCAGCAATTCTCGAAGCAGTATTGGAGAGCATGACGCGGCCATGCTCAGCTGCTGCAAGGTTGAAGGACACTCCTAATGCTTTAAACACACTAGAAAACTCAGTTGATTTTTCATCACACTCGTCGTACTCCCACCCTAGCAGCTTGAACAGGGCCGTGGCGGCCGCCTCTGTATGGCGGACATCGACCTGTCGACTCGCTGTGACGAAATCGTCAAAGAAGACGCTCCATACTAGGCTTAGGGCCATGCAACCGATCCACCAAACCGAAGTAACAACCCTTAGGAAGCCATATACGGAGCGGGATGCTCCGAACGGCAACGCCAGTAATTGATCGATTTCAGCACGCTGGGAATTACTATTCCAGTGAGCCACGAAGGAGTGGCGAAGCGATCGAAGGCTTACGGGCAGTTGCCTATAAGCGGATCTAAGATCATACGCCCTGCCCTGTAGAGCTATCCCAGGGGCAGCACGCATGAAAGCCAGCAACATCCCTGCCACGATGTCTGGCCCGTGCGGTTTTGGCGACTCGTGCACATTCACCATCTCATTTACTCCACCCATCGTGAGATCATCTATCAAGCGGATTTTCGGGCCTTGCTTCAAGCCGAACCTACGACTGACCAAGGAGTCAGCTGGAAGTTCTTCCAAAGGAACTGGGCCGCGGGCCCAACCTTTTCTTCGCTCATCAAGAGTCTTGGTGTGGACGACTTCGTCCTCCTCGCCTTGAGGCTTGCACTTCGAGATCACATGCGACCTCAGCTCCGGTGCCCAGCTCGCTACATCACTGCAGCTTCGCTTGGCGGGCTTGAAGGTGGGAGGAAAGATGGCTGTTACTGGGGTATTACCTGTGAGGGAAAAACCTTGAACTACCTCATCAAAGACGGAAAGGTCAGGATACCCCAAGTCAACCAAAATCTCACGCCACAACAAAAGCTTCTTAGGGGCTAAGATCGATGCAATGTGACCTGGCATGGTCGCCTTGAGCTGGGCCTCAGCAGGCTCCAACTCCTTAGACCTAGCCGCCCACTTGCGAAAGAAGAGCGCGCGATTCTTCGCGAGGTCCGACGACTCGCTCTTTGCATTCACATCGATTGCATGCTGCAAGGCTTGAGGGAGGGCAAACTCATTTTTGCACGGGTGCCCAGCCGCTAAAGCAGCTTTGACAAACTCTTCGGGTGATCGCGGGATGCCCCAAGCAGTCTCAACCCCTTTACCAGTACCCCCTTTGTTAACCGAAACACTTGACACCCGAAGTAGTTGCGAGCCTTCAGGGAGACAACGCAGCCGACAGTGCACCTCGGGAGGTAGCAGAAGAGGGGCTTTAAGACGCTGCATTGTTGTTACCGGCAAAGTTAAACAACCTGTGGCAACAACAACCTGCTGGTGCTCGGAAACGAGTGAAGGGAAAACCGAAGCACGCGGCTGTGCAAGCGTGGCTGCCCTGGCAGTGGCCGAGGCCGGAGCAGCAGCCGCGGGAATGCGCAAACACGAGAAGTAACCCTGAGCAAACTCCCATGGATAAACCCGAGCTAAGCAAGGCTCAACCGAGACGGACTTGCATGAGCAAGGGCGGCTCAAGGAACCGAAGACGTCGCAATTGCTGTGGAGCGAAGTTGAAACACATGCACCGCCGAAGGCACACAAGTGAACCTGCCACGAGAAAGGACAGGCTCGTGCCACGGCAACACCATTGTCGGATGCCCAAAAGGAATCATCAGGGGGCAACTCAATTGAAACAAGAAGGTCCTGAGCAAGAGCACTTTGCACGATGGTGGCGAGGGATTCTGAAAGCTCAAACGACATGTCACACGGCGGGCCGGCATGGATGCAGGTAACATGTGGCGAAGAGAGCCACTCGCACACAAGGGACGAGGCCTCAGCGAGATCAAGCTGCAAAGGCACCGTAGCCGCATCAGGTGCCGCCGTGAAGTCAACAGCAATCGAACCTCGAGCACCATGATTGCGAGCGTGGGCAGTAAGTCGGCCCAGACCCGAACAAAGCTCAATCAGAACTGGATAAGGATGGCTTTCATGCACTTCAAAGACATCCGCTGTAGCTGAAGGTGGAAGCTGAATGAGCCCAGCGCTCAACCTTCGAACTAAGGTTGGCGAGAAATCAAGAAACCCTTTAACAGTAAACCCGACTAAAAGTTTCCGATCCCCCGTCCACGGTGCTGTGCAGTGCCACTGATGGCTGTCAAACGAGAGAGGGCCTTGAGCAAAGGAAAGGACACGACCCAGGCCTACGGGAACGTCATCAAGGGGCTGCGGGCACACTTCATCACCAAGTCCTGCCACCCATATGCCACCTGCACCAAAGACACTGAGTGGCACAGCCCAATTCACAGAATCCAGAGCATTATTCAAGTCGCGATGAAGATGAGCCGATTGATTGCGAAGCAAAGCAATGCTCGTGAAGGTCGCCTCAGGGCATGCACAACAAAGCAAAATGGCCAAAATGGCCGAAGTCGCGGGGAAGTTATCGAAGTTACACCTAGTACCATGAACCCCGCCACGCACATAAGCACCTGTGGTGAAAGTGTGGATGCTTGGGTCACGGATAGAAGATCTCGCCGGCACCTCTGCAGGCAACAACTGGAATAGTTCGTCGAAAAAGCTGTAATCAAAAACCTTGGATTCAAGAACACCGACCGACAGGAGCTCGGCAGGCTCATCGCTGGTAAAAAGATCAAAGTCACACTCACCACACAGAGTTGCGAACAACTTTGGATTGATGACAGGTGGACAACTCATGCAAAAATTCTCAGCATCACCTGTGGCCGTACAGGCGGCCTCGGGAGAAGATGGGGACGAGAGATCTGCAATAACCTCCCGCCCCCTTGCCGGTCAGGCCTTGCACTCCGTGATGGGGTGCGAACCGAAACACTTGCAGCAAACATGTTTGCGCTTACAGCCCTTGACATTGCACTTGCCAAGATTATAACCATAGCAGCACTCGGATCCGTCAGGAGTCATGGCTTGGCCGCCTAAGTCCATAATGGCCTTAGGGACCCTGGGACCACCTGAACCTGTCCTTTGCCCGCCTTTGCCATTCCCCTTTCGGGGCTTCTTGGGATCATCATCCTTCTGGCCTCCACGAGTTAATCGAGGTGGGGGACGCTTAGGGGGCTTAGTTACGGCACCATGCAGCAACAAGAAGCTGACCTCATACGACTCAAGGGCAGCCATGAGTGCAGAATCCATGGGAAATGATTTGTCATCCCCACGCTTCGGACGAATGCCAGCTTCAATGAGCCGCACGAAGACTTGTTTGTCAGCGGCAACAATCTGGCTGACAGTAATGCGAGCCATACCTGGGGGAGGATCACGTGAGAGATGGCTGAATAGTTTGTTCAGGTATCTGTCGTACCCTGGGTAAGACACTGAACCGGCAAAGGTCATGGCAATGCCGCGGGCCGCGGCGACGAAGGGCTTCAAGCGCCTGGAGAGCAGATGAAGGATTGATCTCAGGCACCGACTCACCAGGCTTCAAAACAAGCTTCTGGGATTCAACATGCACAGCTTGACTCTGAGGTTTATGGTGTGTTACCTCATGAATGCGACTCGTGCACTTCGATGGTTCAATGTACACAAGTTGCCCGGAGCGCTCCTGTGCCGCACAAAGGTCAAGTAAATGATGAGACGGTTCATTGGCCCCTTCAAGCTGAAGCCCTACCAACCTGCGGCGAAGCTCTGACATCCTAGCTTCCCGTTCGGCCTCTGGCACTTTCCTGACCGTGGCGGCGTCCAAATTCGACGTGACTTGTTCTCTGAGTTCCGCGCAAACGATTGTTTGTGCTTCTGTGACGAGACGCTTAACGATCGACCGGTCACCAATGGAGGTCGAATGCAAATGTTCTTCAAACCAAGCCGGATACTGAGCTTCAGATGCACTTTCGCTTTGCGATCCTACTGCATACGCAAGAC